AGAATTTTTGTGGCAGGAAAAATCAGGATATCTTTATGAAATGATGGCTTTAAGATAAGCCTTGAAAAGTTGCTGGGATTCAACATAAGAAATGGAAAAGAAGTCACTCTAAATGAGTAGGTTAGTATGTGTGAAGATGAAAGGATGAGAAAATGTGTTAGTTGGTAAGTATTCGTTGAGATCGATTAGAGTAAATAAAGGAGAAACCTGGACTATAAAGCCAGAAAGAATTTGAAACAGATGTGTTTGGCCATAGGCAATAGGACAGAAAGTATATGGGTGTTTTTTCACAGGGGAATACAAAAAGTTAATTAATAGGAGATCGCTGTGATCAGACGTTTTCTTTGGGAAGCCTGTTTGAAAGGAAACGACAGGTGATTGAATGCTGGCAAGAGAAATAAGTGGTATCACTCAGAGAGATTTGAGTCTCTAAGAAGGATATAGGTTCTATTTCCAGATATATGGGAATTAGAAGGAGAAGATAGTTTTGGAAGTATGAATAAGATAATAGTAATTTTAGGTAAAGTAAATTTACAGTGAATTTCAGGTATAAATGTCTAACAGGCAGTAGAAAATATGAAACCAAGAACTTGGGAAGAAAGGGTTAAAAGAAAGACTTGGCAAAAATGATTAAAGAACATCATATTATGTGATCACTTTCTCAGGTTTAACACATTTAGTTATTGAAAAGTTGCTATTTTGGATTTTTATTTTTTATTAAATTTTTAATTTTTATTAAAAGGCTCTTGATTTCTAAACAAAAAATGCAGCTTATTTTTTTATATTGAATAAATTCATATTTATTTAAAAATAATGTGCAGTGACATCATTTTTACATTTAATTCCCAAACATATGATAAGTTACAAACATATTTTTATATTTTGTGGGACTGTTATAAAATTAGTAGTCATTTGTGCACATTAAAAACCCAATGCCATATTGAATAAATAATTGGAAGGTAAAGGTTATACTTTCTCCATGATATTAAAATACATATTTCTCCAGATCTGTTGTTACAGTCAAATTGTCACTTTTTATTTTTCTTACTCTTAGACTTCGGTGAGTGTGTATTCTAGAATTTATATTAAGGACGACCTGATCCAAGCTTTATTTTTATGTCAAAGAAACTAAAGAGATTCAGCAACATTTTAATGTTTACAGTTAAATTAAAACTTCAAAATACCTAAAATTATTATCATAGCAAAGGCTTCTGATAAATTTTAAAGCATAACTGTGTATGAAATGATTATGAGAGTTCTTGTTTTCTCTGTCTTCAATTATACTACTCAAGTTAGTATTCCGAAAATTTGATTATATAATCTCTTCAATGAGAAAAAAAAGCACAAATGTCTGTCTTTTTATTTTTTTATGTATGTATGTATGTATGTATGTATGTATGTATTTATTTATTTTGAGACAGAATCTCACTCTGTCACCCAGGCTGGAGTGCAGTGGTGCAATCTCAGCTTACTGCAACCTCTGCCGCCCGAGTTCAAGCAATTCTCCTGCCTTAGCCTCCCAAGTAGCTGGGATTACTGGCACCTGCCACCGTGCCCAGCTAATTATTATTATTAGTAGTATTATTATTACTTTTTTTGAGACAGAGTCTTGCTCTGTCGCCCAGGCTGGAGTACAGTAGCGTGATCTCAGCTCACTGCAACCTCCACTTCCCAGTTTCACACCATTCTCCTGCCTCAGCCTCCTGAGTAGCTGGGACCACAGGTGCCCGCCACCACACCCAGCTAATTTTTTGTATTTTTAGTAGAGACAGGGTTTCACCATCTTGGCCAGGCTGGTCTTGAACTCCTGACCTCGCGATTCACCCGCCCTGGCCTCCCAAAGTGCTGGGATTACAGACGTGAGCCACCACGCCCGGCCATCTTTTTATTTTAATATTAATATGTGCTTAACTACACATATTATTCTGTAACTTTTTTAACTGAAAAATTGCCATAAGCATATCTTTTTATTCATGTTTTAGGACAAACAATAGAGCTATAGATATCAATACCTGTATTATTTCTTCCCTTTGCAACGTTTTCTAAAACAAAAAGACAGTGAGAAAACAATGAATCACCACAATGTGATCTAGCCAATATTAGTGAAATCTGGATATTTTTTATGCAAAGATACTAAAATGTGATTCCAAGATCTTCATTCACGTTTTCAAACCACATACACTGAATTCATTCTTTATGTTATTCTTTGAAGCCTCCTTGCAAATATGAGGTCACATGCTTAAAGATTGTTAAAATCTGTTGTAGCTTGGAGAAGTATCAGTGACTTATAAAGACCTCATTTCCAAGAGGTTGAGAGAAACAATATTTTGTTTTATCCATTCAAAACCAGACTGGCATTCAAAGATATTTTGATACCTTGGACTGGTACTTAGAAAAGAGAAGTTTACAGTCTCCTATGATACCCAATGAGATGTTAAACATTGTGTGTAATTACCTTTTACAATATCTGCTTTGAAAAAATTGAATAGAGATATGAATATTTGATAAAATATGTATTTTATTTTAGAATGCATCCTGAGATTAACTGAAGCCACATGTACCCTCAGGCACACAAGGACAAACATTCTTTGCCTTCCATTCTGATACCTCCTTGGCTATAGATCATCTTTTCATAATTTGAGATATAGTTTACAGTGAAGGACATCCGGTGACATGTGGACAATCAGATTGGTAGCTCAGATCTCTGTTGGGTATCTTGCGTTCTGAGAGCTACAACTTTTATTATACAGAGACTCTGGCCAGCCTTCAGTAGTACATAGTAAAATCGTGGGTGGTTTTTGCAGATAATATTTTATTTGGAGGTTTGCTGATGACAAAACTGTTTGCTTTCAGAGTTATTAAAAATCATAATGTGGGCTGGGTGTGGTAGCTCATGCCTGTAGTCTCAGCACTTTGGGAGGGTGAGGTGGATGGATCACATGAGGCCAAGAGTTTGAGACCAGCCTGGGCAATATAGTGAAACCCCAACTCTACTAAAAATACAAGAAAAATAGCTGGGCATGGTGGCACATGCCTGTAATCCCAGCTGTTTGGGAGGCTGAAGCAGGAAAACCGTTTGAACCAGGGAGGCAGAGGTTGCAGTGAGCCGAGATCGAGCCACTGTACTCCAGCCTGGGTGACAGAGTGAGGCTCCATCTCAACAACAACAACAACAAAAGTTACAATGTAAATAAAACAATTAAGTACAGAGTCACACTTATAAATAAAACAATATAATTTTAATAATAAATATGTTTAAACAATGTCACTTAAAAATATTTCAATTTACTTTAATATTTTATACTACTGTTAGCAATAACAATCCTATAAGAAACACTGATTGTAAAGTAGTAGTTTGGACATTCCATGGTACGTTAATTTCAATCCTTGGACATAGATTATGTGCTTTTAGTTTGTTCATAATTTATTATGAATCAAAGACAAATACCTACCTTTATATTTAGTGTTTTCACTGATTTTTCAGGCTACCTTTCCTTTTTGCCTAATGAGTTGTTAACATAAGATATGGTACCTTTATCTTCATTTATTTCTCTCCTTATACCATCCCTAAATGACCTGCATTAACTAGTCAACGCAGTGAGCTCTGAAGTCTTGGACTTGCTCCATGTAACCCAATCACTAATCACAAGGCCCTTCCACTGCTGTTTTCTTTCACCTGTGCTGTAACTTCAGCCTGTATTTCCTTTTAATTCATATTGTGGCATACCAATTCTACTAATGATCAACACATGCCTTTTTTCCTCCTATTTCATTTGATTTCTTACACAACTCTCACCCATTTTGTGTATCTTTGCTTTATAGAGACAGTGACCTGCAATAATTAAGAATTAACAGACCTGGATCCAAATTTTGTCTTGTCTTTTTATGGGGCAAGTCAATATTTTAAGCCTCCATTACTCAATTTTCTAATCTATAAAAGACAATTCTGTGAAGTTATTGTAGATTTTGAAAATAAATCACTTAACACTTCCCATGGCACATGGTACTTGATAAAAGCTGGGTAGTCACAGGCAGATAGATGATCCCTTAACCATAGCCCTTAGTTTAGGTGCATCATTAGAATTCAGATTTTATGGACTTTAAAAGGTATGCATATTTCATATCATACTTAATATCTCCAACGGGATGTTAGTCAGCATGCTCAAATAAGTTGATAATTCTGTAGGACAATATTTATGTATTAGTTTTTACACAGAAATATTAGCCTCCCATTAATTCAAGTCAGATATTGTTACCAAATGAGTTATGAAAAAACCATTATTCAAATTTTGGAATTGAGGATAAGTGAGTAGGAATCCAGAAAACAAGAAGAAATTTTTCATTTTTCTTATTGTAAACTAAATTTTATTCTTTCATTTTGACTACCTGGATATTTTCTAGGTTTCCTAAATATAGGACTACAAGCACTTTTTTTACTTACACTACTACAACTCATCCCCTTCCCCAGGTACCCTCACCACTCCAGATTTCTTCTGAGAATTAAGGGAGGGAATGAAATAGAGTTATTTCAGTAAGAGCATAATTGTTGGGCATGGAAAATCCATGTCATATTAAGAATTTTTTCTCCTTGGAATTTGTTAGGATAAGTATATAATATCTAGGGAGAAAAGGACACAAAAAAGCATTAGTTTTTGTTTCTTCCTTTGTGATTAAAAACTGGCATTTCTTATATATATTTTAACTTAGAAGATGTTTTAGCAAGATTTGTAGTTAAATAAAATACACTAGCAATTTTAACATGTGTAATTTATTGTTTTATGTAAGTATTTTGGGGTTTTAGAGGAATGTAGATTGTCTTATCGACCTGTTGACATTGATTCTTTTTCTTCCACTAATAAGGATCTATATAGATTTTGGTCTGTTCCTTCCTATTATCTATTGATTTGGGGGATTTGCCATCAGGATAAAAGTTGTAATTGAATTATAGTTTCATATTACGTAATTATTAATCACCATTGATTCTAGTATTTCTTTTTTAGTGTCCAACTGAAACCAAAGCAACATTTGGGGTTCACCTTAAAATAGTAGGAGACTGGACAGGTATGTAGGACATATAGTTTTAAGATGCGGTCTTTGAAAATCATAGAATGTAATAATTTGAATGTGTTTTAGTATAACTACCAGCATGTATAGAGACGTGTATGTGTTTCAAGCTGTTCTATTTATTTATTTTTGACTTGCACAGTTTTGACATCTATGTTTTCTCTTTTAAGATGCATTTTTGCAATCAGAATACCTTTGATATCAGTAATTATTAATAATATATTGTTCAGTGTGCTTGCAAATCATAGGCTTCTACCTACTTGTCAGACGTGCTGGCAATAGTGGGAATGCTGAAATGTGTTTTTAGAAAACATAAGTCAAAGTAATCAACACCTGATATTGAGATCACACAAATCTTCCAGTTCTTGCATGACATTTTTTGTGGGGTTCCTGTATATATAGCAATATCTTTGGAATAGATAATTTTAACAGCAGGCCTATTGGTGATACTTTACTTGTCTTCAGTAAATACTTTTTATTACCTGAGAGATGCATTGTAGTAAGAGCTCTGAGTAAATAAAAGAAACATTATTCACTCTTATATTAATATTTCCTTGACCCACCAGAATAATTGACAAGTGAGTACTCAGTAAATGTTGGCTTGTTGGTTGGTTATGTTGTTGTTGCAGGGAAGAATGCAGATATAAACATGAATGCAAAACGAAATTTAAATATTCTTATACTTAGATGCTAAACAAGGAGTTGGTATGTAAAATCTGTAGGGAACCAGAAAAATGTAGATTAAATGTGGTCTAGGGCTGTAAGAGAAGCTTCACAGAAAAGACAGAATTTGAAATGAAGCTTAGAAGTCAGGTAAATGAAGAAAGATATAGGTAATTTAAGTGAAAGTCACAGTGTTGTCAAAAATCAGGAAAGGCAATGATTAAACTCTCTTTGGGAAGGGTGAATCTAATCAGCCTTTAATCAATTAAACAAAAGCAAAGTCAAACAAAATGAAGCAAAAACAAAGTCAATCAAACAAAAGCAAAGATTTTATTCTGGGTAGTAGTATAGAAAAGCCATTTAGGGCCAGCTTGGTGAAGATTATGAATGCCTCAGCAAAATATTAGAGTAACCAACTAAGGGACTTTGGGGAATTTTTGAAGCATTTGAAGCACTATGATGAAAATGGTATTAATTAGGTTGCTAGTTGGACAGACTAAAATCAAGGGAAGACTTGAAGGTACTTAAAGGCAGAGGGGAAGGAGGCCGTGGAGAGGTGGGGATGGAAACTCGAAGTAATGAATTTGTGAACACAAGTTAAGAAGGTAGCATTAGAAGGAAGAACCTAATTTCTGTAAAAACCAGGGAAGGATAAGATAATAAGAAAGACATGTTTTGAAATTAGGAGAACAGTAGTTGATATAAGGAGGTTATTTCATATAGTTAAAAAATAATAGAGTTATGTATAAAATGTAATGTCTTTAGAAAGGGTAGCCAGTTTAGAATTGGAGACTTAAAAAAACAAAAGGAAGGAAATCTGCAACATAGGATTTAATGGGCAAACATCTAAACGAATTAAAAAGATCTTTGAGCAGTAATGACTCATTCAAAGTAATGAAAAACCAGGCTTACATGGATAATTTTCAGATGGTAGCAGTGAAAAGAGATCATGGTCATCCTCTGATAGATATACACTGGTGGAGTATGAACATATGAATAATTGCAATATGCTTGATATCAGTTGATATAATCACAGTGTTTTTTTTTCCCCCACTGTTCTGGAAATAAAGAATAAGGAAAGTTCTTTTCTGATGAGAATCCCAATATAGTAGGAATTAAGTTGAGTCATGAATGGTAAATTGATAGAATTCTATATCTGAAAGAAAACATACAATGAAAACATAGTTTAATTCATAAGATTAAGCAGAAACTCCTGATGGTTTATTATTAGCTATTGTTACCGAGTTTTTTCCACAAAGTTATTTTCTATTACCAGTAGCTCATTAAAATAAATGATGTCTCACTATTTTAATCATCTCTATTAGGAACACTTAATAGTGTTAATTTTATCCTCTTTTTTTTAATGTACTATGCCACCGAGAGAAACAAGATCATTCTATTCAGAGAGTTCAGTTCCAGTCAGATGCTTTTCAATTAATAGACCTTCTTTGTTGTTGACCTGAAATATTTGTTGACTTGGAAAAAAACGTAAGCAGTCATGCAGAGAACACCTAAATAATCATGTCACTGTCGGACACTTTAGTTCAAAGAGATTTAGCTGCCTTACAATGAGATTACAATTATTGAAGGAAAAGTAGGAGCATTACCTTTGAAATCAAAAATCATTGGTTTTTATTCTAAAAGAATTGATAAAAACTTGGTATTAAGAGCAGTAGGTATAGGAAATACCAAAGAGATACCTAAGAGATTGAATATCAAAGGTTTATTTTTTAAAACTGACTGAGAGATATATAATATGACTTTTTAGTCGCTGAAATATGTTCTGCATTGGCAGCATACAGAGACTAAAGAACAGGTTTAAAATAGCTCCATAAATGATCTCTCCGAGACTAATAAACTATACCTAACTATAGAGTGCCGGAAGAGCAAGGGAAGCAACTATGCAGCACAAGACCAAGAAGCACCAAAGTCTCATATTTCTTGTCTAGATTTTCATTTTCACCAGACCTCTAGTTGCTTCTCCTAAATATGTGGAAGACCTGTTAAGTTTAGAAGACCCTTAAAATATTTTAGACATGATTCAGCGTTTTTTCTTGAAATGATTGTAGTAGAGTAGATGGGGTGGATAACCCAAGTAGATTTCTCTTTTCATTGAATTAATACCCCATTACTCTTCTAGAAGCAGCCATTCTTTCCAGTTTCAAACATATGGTCAGAGATTATTGACTTGATTATCATTTTAAGTGTACAGAAATGTTTTGTTACTTTCTTCATTACATATGATTAGTATTGATTAATGTCTGAGATAATGCTGTACCCTTGCTTATTTTGGTGGTCTAAATAGCCACTTATTCCACAGATGTTTGTGTTGTGCTACAACAGAATTAAATACATAACATCCACATGTAATTAATGTAAACTTTCTGCCATTGGTCCCTTCAGCAGTTAATGAATTAGCAATAATTGTGAGTAAATATTCAATAAAGGACTTGTAGCATGTATCACATGACGTTTCTATGAATCTTGAGTATAAATTCCCGTGTTGTCTTCTGGAAAAGCTTTCTACAGTGAGAAGATATGGTTATCTTTGAGGATTAAAAATGAGAAGACAGGGTCATATATTATTATGGATTTGCCTCAGTCACATAATATATTGACTACTCACAGTGAAGGTAATCTTAAATATAGGTTTAGTTAAGGACTGGGCCACAAAAGAGTTGATAACTCTTATTTTTTTCTATATCACTGTAGAAGCCAGCCATGTTTCAGGCTTTATTCAGATTTCTCATGAAAAGATTAAAACAGAACATGTGTTATGTGTTTAAAGTATTTCTTTTTTATTTTTGGAAACTCCTTGTAAGTCAAATTATGACCACACTAAATTATATTGTTATTACTTTATTTTGACAACATATTTTAGGCCAATTACATCAATTGCCTTACACTAGATATCACTGTGAATGGCTTTTGGTTGCTGCAAAAAGCCAATAAATAAATAAATAAATACATAAATAAATACATAAATAAATCTTATTTGGATATATGGAATCTCACTGATTTTACATAATTCGTATTCATACAATGTAAACTTTAAGGTTATAATATTCATCATCAACTGCTACATACCCAAAGGAGTGCCTGGAAATATTCTTTTTGTTGTTACTGTTGCCATGACTAGTGAATTACAATGATTAGTCATTTGTGGAAGATAATATTTAAACTATTAACTTTGGCTAATAATCAAATGTATGTTAAACAGCTACTATGTTCCAGACTGTTTATTAGTCACTGGAGACACAGCATTGAACAAAAGTGACTAAGTCTCCGCTCTTATAGAGATTGTGTTTTGGTCCGTGGGGAGTTCATCATTTTTTTGGAGATGTTTTGGTGTGATTCTATCTCCTGCCATTTGGCCATGGTTTATAGATTGTAGTAGCCTCACTACTACCTATAGGGTACTACTATAGTATAGTATAGGATATAGTACTACTAGAGTAGTACCCTATGTCCTACCAGCCCCTGTGGATGGTAGTAGTTTTCTTCTACTCTCTGAATTTTTTCACCATCCTCAATTTGGCTTCTCACTTCTTCCCTCACTTGAGTCATTAGTTCCCTCTAATGAACTTCTTCCACTTAAATTATGCAGTCATGTTTCTGCCTGGATCTGCACTGTTACACAAGTTTAGAAAAGCTCTCTGAACAGAACCCCAAATCAAGAGGAGAAATATACAGGGGGGTTGCATTTGCAGTGTACAGGGACTAAAGAACAGGTTTAAAATAGCTCCATAAATGAGATATTTTAAAAATATATGTCTTTAAAAAGTTTAAGAGATAATAAAAGTAAGAGAGTGTTTTATATCTATAAAAATATATCTTTAAAAAGTTTAAGAGATAATAAAAGTAAGAGAGGACGTGGAGCTGATAAATATAGATCAATCTGGCAGTGTGCTTGGGTTAGCTCCTAGGGCTTGAGAGGTGCTTGTCTTCCCACCTTTATGGTCAGTGAGGTCATGTCTGATAGCTTCCCATCACTCACAGTGACGTAGTTATTCCGCAGAAATTGACCAACATCATTCCCATGGTGTGAATATGTCCCCTATAATTCATATGTTGAAATTTAATCACCAATGTGATAATATTAAGAGGTGGGACTTTTAGGAGATGATTAAGTCATGAGAATAAAGCCCTCATGGATGAGATTAGTGCCTTCTGAAAGGGCTTGAGGGATTTGATTCACTCTCCTCTGCTCTTCTACCATGTGTGTTCCTTCACTTTTGTTCTTTTGCTATTCTGTTGTGTAAGGACACAGCAATAAGGCACCATCTTAGAAGCAGAGAGCAGCATTTACCAGGCCTCAAAGCTGCTGGTGGCTT